ATCCTTCCGATGGTGGAAGGTAAAGCGGCCCTAGTCGATGGACGGTGGTGACCTGGGATAGAATTGACTTACGAGCTGACCAGGAATGGAATGAGCCGCCGTCGATCCGCGGCAGATTCCGTTGGATGTCGGTGGTGGGTGCAGAACCTAGGCGATCCACTGAGAAGTTGACTAGGGTAACTAGATGAGGGTGCCCCGAGGGTGCCCCGATGAGGGTGCCCCGGGTGCCCTGCGGGGAAGGCAGGGTTTCGCTAGGTAGCGGCCACAGGTGAAGATATACCCCCCTGTCCCACACATCACACAACATATCACTGACAGGAACTTGCATGTTGTTATTAGGTGAGGTCTGTGCCCCCAAAAGCATCCAAATAAAAGAAATCAAAATAAATCGAAACAGGTGATAGCTAATTGTCCATTGTTGGCCACTCCTGTAAACATAACAACTTGTCTGACACAATTCGCAAGGAGGGGTGATGTGACCCGACAGGATCCCAACCTTCAGATGATCCTGCGAGGAAGAGACCTGCATTAGCTCTCAGGTTTGGAGAGTCAGCAATGTACCGTTGTCTATGCATGGCGATCTTAAGCTAGGCAACCCGCCGGCAGAGGCTCGCTTGGCAGCGGGGTAGCTTCAAATACACCTATCAGCTACACGCAACCCTTCTGACTGTGACTGGCGGCGCCAGTTACGACGTTTGTCTTTCCTTGGTTGCGCTCAATCAGGTAGTTGAATTCTATTCCCATCACCATCAGCCCACGAGCCTGTACTACTGCAGTTTATTTGCGCAGCAGTTGCATGCCGAACTTGGGCATGGCCGAATTAACCGTCCAGATATTGACTGGTGCGGACAACACCTGAGGCATGACACAGGGAGGTTGTGCGTGCGCAACTGCCAACATCTCCCATCATGCATGGTATGTCGGCATTATTAAACGAAAGCGAGCTGCTTGCGCCTTTCGGAGTAAGGATGGCCTGTCCTTTGCCGTTTTGGATCTGGGACAGTCAAGCAACGGGACGCCACCAGTTGAATAGTCAGACCAATCAGTCAGACCAATCCAGAGTCAGACCAATCCGTGGCTATACTGTAAAAGGCAATTTGGCGTCCGGCTGAGGACGGACGCACTAGTCTTTAATTGCTTGGAAAGCCTGGGTGGAAAGCCTGGGTGCATTAATTGTCCCAGCCTTACGATGCTACAGCTGCCAAACGTAATTTGTTAGATGGGAGACTGTAGCCAGGGCTAGTGCAGCTGTACACTACGGCGTCGGTAGTGGTGCGCTGGGTTTCCCTCGAGCCGACGGATGGGATGGGGCTGCGGGATTTGCCCGTGTGGGGCTGCAGTGGGCTGTGGCGGGCGCGAACTTAGGGAGGCAATTGTCCTCAGTTGTTTGCAGTCGCCTGCAATCATCTGTGATCTGCCTATAACAACCCAAGGAGGTGCATGAGGCTTGTATGTTGCCGGGCCTGGTACACAGCTTTACTAGAGTTACGTTCGAAGCACTGCGATGCGGGCATCTATCGAGGTCTATCGTCATTCGCACAGATTGT